GTTAACGCGTGACTAAATTCTTTATCAACTTCTAGGTGCGTATAAGCGTCGACGATGTCCAGGTAGCAGAATAGGGTTGCGCCTCTCAACTTGTTGAAGAGATGCTCCACGTTTGGGCCCGGATGTTCGTCAATTATGATTCTTGGGTTCAGTATTGGCTTGTAGTTGCCGGTGATTCTTAATTTACCGGTTTTCTTGGCCACAATGTGGGTAGTTGAGGCCCATTCCGAGTAGTCGACTCGATTGTAAAATCTTGAGGCAATTTTAGCATCGATTTCCTTGGCGTATGCATCTCGTAAGGCGAGCGGTACTTCCCGCGCTCGGGAGAAGACTGGCATAGCTCCTGGTTTTAACTTCATTTTCGCTGGAGGATCTGTTGTAACGTTCATTTTTGGCCCCACGAATTAATAAAATTGTTTTGGCTTCCCTGGTTAATCATACGAAAAAAAAAGGGTAAAATCGTATTGATGATATCACTATTATTTTTGTCATTAACTAATTTCACCTGTATTCTAACTTTCGGACATCATTATTACAATTTATTTCATCTCATCACTAAGTAAAAGGATGGTAGCTCACCACTAGTATAATACTTTGTACAATGGTCATATTTGCAGTGTAGTGTTCACTGTCTTAATTTGCCAGATTCTCCTAAAAATAGACCAAGTTTCGTTGTAAATTTATACATATTATGTATTATAGTCTCACCTTTGGGTAATTAATTATTTACGATACCATTCTTTAAGATTTTCTTTGTTTATTTTTGTTTATAGCTGTCAGAATTGGATTAATGTTTTTTTTAATTATGACAGTGAATGACATAAACGTCATTTGACGACAGAACACCGACAAGTGTCATGTTGGTGGGACGTTCCAATATCGGGCTCAGAACCCGAGGTAAGGTAGTTTCACAATGAGCGATTTTAAGTCGTGAGGGATTTTTTTTTGCGATCGCTGTTGTATTAATTTTTGTCGGGAACAGTTTCCCAAATGTAGTTATACTGTATATAAATATAGTTTTTAGGGTACCTTTCGTAAATGGTCTCTTAAGTTATATAGTGGGGAATTCTTGAGGATGAATTTCTGAATCCACTTGGCTTGAAATTTATCGGAAAGGGATTTCGGCCATTTTAGACGGCTGACGTATTTTTTTAGTCAGTGGGTATTGAATCACGAGAAGGACGAATTTTGCGTCGAAGTAGAATTTTGTTAATATTTAGCCCCATCGGCTTACCCTAATTAAAGGGGATTTTAGATTCTACTTCATGGTTAATTGTGGGTAAATGGACATTTCGTATTTTGAGAGGAATTTTAATGTATTGGTAAATTCCTATGGTCATTGGTCCAGCCCATATCTAGTATAGGATTTTAACGCAATAATTGGAAGTTCACAGCATTTGGAGTGTGGAATATTGTTGTGCTGTGGATCATCTCACGTGTTTCTCATCCTTGGAAGGCTACCAAGTTAACCCTTTACGAAAAAGGGTTTCACCCAGGGGGTTGTTAACCCAGGATTCGACGACAGTTTCACACAGGGGGTTGTTAGCCCAGGATTAGACGACAGTTTCACCCAGGGGGTTGTTGACCCAGGATTTCAATAGTTGTACACAGAGGGTTATATCGTCCGGAGTTCAACGGTTTCATCGAGGGAACACAGAACATTGGTATGCTAGCCGCCTAGCTTACTTGTAGCTAGATTTACAATGATGATTCTCGTTCTGGATAGGAAGATGGGAATGCTGTGAAAGAAGACACCCTACTAACAGGTTTTTCTTATACGTTATATTGAAGGTTTCATGCGTGCATTGTTAAACTATACATTCACTTTCAACCGAATGTTGTCAAGGTATTCTCAACATTATTTATACTTTTGAGCACAGAATGTTCTAGGGTTCTTTCACTCATAACTTAAGTATTATCAAATGTTACATCGTTTAATTGATTAATATTTTAAATGTTTACTTAATTTAAGCACTTAATGCTGATGTAGTAATCCTTCGGGTCGCAGAACACTTGGACTGCTTCCACGTTTAAGTTGTAATTCTTCAGTTATTAAGGGCTACTGCCATAATTTTACTTTTTTTCAATTTATTCATTATTAAATGGTCCAGACTTAACGATTAAGTTAAGCAATCTCAGAAGACCCGTGTGGGGGCAGAGATTAAGTAACCTCTTCCAATCTGGGAGTTTAAGTAAATAACCTCTGTGTCTGAAGTCCTTTGTGTATCTTTGTATTTTTATTTTTTTTTGATATTTTTATTTAGTTTTATGAATTATACTTAATTATAAAATTTCATGGTTTAATAATTTTCTTTTGGGTAGTTTGGTCTTAACTAAAAGTTAAGCAGATATCGCCTTCCAATTTGGAGAGGGTTATAAGCTTATAAGGATTATAAGTTTATTGTTTAGTTTATAATATATGATGTAGTATAGGTGCGGTTATGCGCAAGATTTAAGTTAACTATTATTTTATATTTAATTTTTTTATGTAAGGTGGAAATTAATATTTTGCGCAAGCGTCATGCCTGGTACCAAGCTAACGACAAACCGTGCCATACTTTGATACATTATTAATTTTTTTGGGTTACGCATATACATATACAGTGTAAATTTTTCCTTTTATTTCCTCCAACTTTTTTTGGATTATCTAAGCCATTAGGTAATTAGTTTGTCCATTATAATTGTTGAAATCTAAAGCTGATATATTTAGTAAATATTTTTTTTTCTTTATAAAGGAACATAAGTTGAGGTTTGTCTTTTATTTCTTTCCTCATTTACTGGGTTTTTGGGGAAATAGGATCATAGTTTGGCCACTATATAGACCCAGTTGGCGCCTACTCATTTGTCTACTATTTCCGGAATTATTGTAAGCTATCCACCCCCTAGCTGCCGTCTGAGCGACGTCGAAGGCCCGAAGGTTGACACCGGAACAGTCGAAACTTGTGTAACCGTAGTAGACAACATTTTTAATTGTAGTTAATACTTTAATAATTTTTTTTTTAGTTTAAAAATTTTGGTGGAATCACCGAGTTCATTTCTTAGGTTACATTTTTGGCGCCCAACGTGGGGTCAGGGGTTTTTCCAAATAAATCATCATATTTGGTTAGTAAATGGTCCAGCTGTTTCTCTTGGTCGACGGTGAGGGCTTTCGGAACTTCTGTGGTGGATATTTGGTGCGCCGGGGTTGGCTTGGTGAACAGGCCCTCAAAGTCTATTTCGTGCACAAATTCTGCGATCCATTCTCGGCCCAGAAGCGTGTCGAATTCTTCATTCACTACATAGAGATTGAGTGCCTTCGTGGTTGCTCCAATGGTGACGTTGACACAGACACGACCGATACAATTGATCCGGTGGTCCGTGTAACTGGCAAAGTTTCGGTCTGTCTTCTGTAAATTAAAAACATGATCAATTTTGTCAAGATTATGTTTGCTTATAATTGAGCAAGCAGCGCCTGTATCAAGTTCCATTTTGACTGTACTGTCCTCTATCTGGACTGTCAGTATCTGTCGTCCTGGTGATGGTACTGAGCCGATGATCTCAAGTTTACTTAACCGTTGTACTGAGTCGATTTCATCGTTGATCTCTCCGGAAGCAAGTTCTTCCTCGGTGAGCTGGTTCGTATTTTTAGTTTTTCTGGACTTACATACCCTGGCGATATGTCCTTTCTTTCAGCATTTGTTACATTTGCTGTTCAAGAATCTACATTGACTGCGAGGGTGTGTCTCACCACATCCTGCACATGTGTACTGGTTATCCTGGGTTCTGTCTTTGTGCTGAAATTGGTTGTCGGCTGCTTCCTGTTGTGCGTATACTTTCTTTCGCCCTTGTTGATTCCAGTTCTTACGCGATAGCGGTTTCTCGTGTCAAATTTTGTTTGTAAGCTCGGTCTTCGCTTGTGTGGTATTTACCTCATCTGCTGTATTGCGCATGACTTCCAGCGCATGTGCAATTTCGTACGCGTCTGTGAATGATGTCGGTTTCTTCGAGATTATTTCGTCACAAATTTCTCGAGATTCCAGACCCAATAGTAGTTGTTCTATCAACATCCGGTCGAGAAATGTATCATATTCGCAATACACGGCGGCCTGCCTTAACCTCAACGAGAAGTTGGCAATAGTTTCCCCTTTATTTTGTCTGATCTGTCGAAACTTTATACTTTCGGCGAATTTATTTCGAGTTGAATCGAACTGGCGTATCAGTTTCGATCTTATTTCATTGAAAGTAAGTATTTCTGGATCAACAGGGCTCACCAAAAACTTCAGTGCGTCATTAAGCTCGGGCCCCATATAGACACGTGCGTAACTTGCGTGTTTGTCTTCTGGTATTTTGCTCAGCTCAAGTGCCCAGGAGAAGCGCATGAAATAGTCGCTGATCATGGTTCCATCGGTGGAACGATACGATCCCATGGCGAATGGAGGCGGGCGCGGCAATGCTGCTGTGGCAGCGGCTTCTATGGTAACATTAGTCGTGGAGGCTTGGATTGCGTTAGCTATCATGCTGGAGAAAGTCTGAAGTAGTTCAGGAGTAACTGTCGGAGTGGCTGGCATCGTTGGTGATCACTAAGTTGGTACAGGAACACTATATACTCTCGATTCCACTTCTGATACCACTTTTATATTTGTGTATAAATAACGCAATAAAATTATATGAAACTTTATTCTCCTTTTTGACAGATCCTTTTCTTTCATTCATAAAAAGACAACTAACTTAACAACAACGATAAAACAAAAACATACATAGGTTGTGGATTTGGTTCCATGCTCTATGTCAAGTGTGACAACTCGCACTCTTTGAACGCGTTAAATAATTAATAGTCTAGTCATATTCTTTCAAAAACATACACAACAGTTACCTAATTTATTTTGGTAAAATTTTAATTTTGAAACAAAATTGCTTTTTGATATATCCTTGTCCAAATATCACCTGAATGTATTATCTTCGTGGACAAAAAACCTACATCGTTGAAGGAAAATAAAAAAAAAACTTCAAATTCAGTACGATATTTATTTATATACAAGTTTTACACGAAAATTGAGTTCTTAGTTTGTTGCTTTTCTAACAAACATCAAAGATCATTGAAAGCATTTTTAGAAGAAGGCACTCAAATTAGTGAAAAAAATCACCGGCTTATTGATAAGAGATCACATCGAAATTATCATTACTATAACTATTTACATTACTAATATTAGGAACACAGGAATTAACTCTAAAATCAAGTTCATTAAAAATAATGTTATCATTGTTTGTTTTACTGGTATCGTAAACGTTTAAGAAATTATGGTATTCGTTATATTGCACTAGATCAATGTACTCATCTTGATAGTTAGATTTTGAGTATGCTTTACTATGGGACGATTCAAATTTTTGACCGTTCTTCTCATCGAGAAAGTGAGGTTTCGAGTCCACCATATCGAAATGAAGAGGATAATTATCTATAGTACATTGCGGGTAGTAATGATTTTTTTGAAGCGTAAACAAAGGGTCGGTCGATTTGGTTTCTAAGTACAAATGCTGATCAACAGGTGCTTCGTTAGTAATTCCTAATAAATGACTACTATCAGGGCTCTGATTTAAATTAAACCTACTATTACTACTATTATTACTATCATCATTCAACATATTGTGAAGCGCAGGATGCCAGTACTCTTCGTTTTTAAATTCTTTATGAATGGTACCACTCCCTAGGTCCAATAACGTAGGCGGACTTCTTGCTATTTCAGTTTGATTCATTGCTACAAAGTCAGGTTTTACGGGTTGATCGAGTTGAAACATTTCTTCTGGTTGGAAAATATCTGAAGCTAAACTGTTAAAGTCATATTGCGGGTTCAGAATCGAAGGCTCGGGTCCGGGTGGGTTTTGATATGACTGTTGAATGGTAGGTTCTGGAGTCCAGTAAGGTTCTGCAACGTGAGGCTGTTGGTACGTACTTAAAGACGATGGAAATTGATTGATCGGTGTTAACATTGATTGCTGGAAACGGCAGATGCATTCGAATGGCGGGCAAGAACAATAACCTGAAATTAAAACGTATTTTAGTTTTAAAGGATAGTTAAATATTACCGAATAGTATATTATAAAAAAATAAAATATATATCAGAAACTGAACATTCGGCAAATCTATTAATTCGCCGTTTCAGGCATCTGGCCCGAATTAGTATATCAAATTGCTGTCTAGAAATCTCGACAGTTAGTGTCGTCATGATCTAGTGGTAAGGGCATTTGTGTACAAAATAAAGCTGTATGGGTTGAAATTCCGGCGGCCACAAACTTTTTTTCCAATCAAGTATGTATTTGTTTTCACCTTTGGGGTTCGGGATGGTCGTAATAATTCGTAAGGGGATTTATGAGACTTTTATTTGGAAAGGCGGGAAGAGGAGAAGAAATGACGCAGTAGGAAGGAGGAAGAGGAGGAGAAGGAAAGGTGGGAAAAGGAGAAGGAAAGACGCAGGAAGGACAAAGAAAAAGAGGAAGAGAGGTGTAAAAAGCTGAGGTAGAAATTATGAATGGTTTATTGCAAATTCAAGAAAAACTTAAGCAAGAGGTAGGTCAGCTAAATAGCCACAAAAACAAGATAATTTAAAAGCCGATTTAGAACGGCAGCAAGAGAATTCAAAAGCCAATTTAGAACAGCAGCAAGAGAACCAAAAAACTAAATTGGAGAACTTAAAAACGAATTTAGAAAAACAGAAAGATAATTTGAAAGCTAATTTAGAGAAACATCAAGAGAATTGAAAAGCTAATTTAGTATAACAAGAACAGGCTAGAGTAGAGTTGGAAAGGCAAATTAGAGGTAAAATGGCTCAGTTAAAAAGAAGAATTCGCAGACAAGCTTCAGTAAACAACATTGAAGCTGTAAACATTACCTCGTCTACAACTATAACCAACCCAAGCCATATTCGAACCCCAGGCTCACAAAACCATAATAGCAAGACCCTGAAGTCACGTACGTGTGACGGTCAGACAACATGAGAAACATATCGACTCCAATTTGAAGCTGCAGCTAGAGCCAATGGCTGGGTCGAGAAAGAGATGGCGGCTTCATTGATAGTGTCACTGCGAGGACAGGCAGCAACCGTTTTACAGTTACTTCTCCAAAAAGAACTCAGTTATTCATCCCTCGTCCAAGCTTTGGAGACAAGATATGGTCAGCAGCATTTGAAACAGGTATTCCAAAGCCAGCTAAAAGTTCGTAGTCAGAAACACATTAAGAGTCTACAAGAATTCGAAGCCGATATTAAAAGATTGCTGCATCTGTTTGGCCTATATACACAGGTACCTAAAGATTTCTTAGACCAAATCGGCATGCACGCATTCATTGATGGACTACAAAACGTGGAAATGCAGCAGGCTCTTCGGTTACAACACCTCAAGACGTTGAATGAGACACTTGTTGCAGCCCAGGAATACGAAGCAGCAAAAATATATCTAGATCTTCTCACGCAAAATTGAGAGAAATTCGATTTCAAGAAAGTGAAGAGGAAACTACTAATACTATCCCTCAATCTACCCTCTCACAAATCTTAAATATCCTGCAAAGTATGCAACGAAATAGCCAAAATGAAAGCAGATGCTTTAATTGTGGAAGAATCGGACACCTTCAAAGAACTTGTCGAAGCAAGACTCGTTCTATAAATCGATAATCGGGAAATGATACCAGAAATTCACCTAAATCAACCTCCAAAGTCCATCACGAAATCCATCAAGAAATAATTACAGCAGATATGCCTCCCGGAGAAGCCGGTCACTCACACCTAGCCGGCTTTCTAGCAATAGGGGAAACGAATAAAGGTCGACACTATGGGGCAGGCGACGGCTGTAATAAATGGCCTAAAATTCACACTTATACCTTAAATAAAAACAAACAAAAAACTATTGGTCAAGGGGTATATCAATAACCAAGAAGGAACCTTCGTTCTTGATATTGGTGTAACCAAGTCTTTCATTCGAACAGGGATCCTGCATCCAAAACCACGACCAACTCAAAGAAGAGCACTTATTTCTGGTGGTCGCTATTAAGGATCAGTGTGTCATTGGTATGAACATTATGCAAAATAAGTTTATCATCGATCTCCCAAATAAGATTTTGATAACTGGAAACGAAGAAATTGTCCTATATTTGGAGGATAAAGGTCCTAGTAGAAGAATCTGTGAGTGAAGGAATTCTGGTAGCTAGATGTCTAGTTAACGTAGATCAACTGATTCCTGTAAGGGTTGCCAATTTATCGAAAAGACCTTTAAAACTAAATAAACGATAAAAATAGGGCTCTGTATATCGGTAGAAAACATAATCAAGTGCGAAGACAGTTCTACGGGGAAAGCCTCCACAAGTAACCCAGTTGACGCCAGCTTTCTTAAACGGTTAGTTAAAAAGTATGACCATCTGACAGCTAAAGAACTTAGAAAAGTCATAGAATTTATTAATACCAACTGTGACATTTTTGAGACAGGAAAATCAACGAGGCGTACCAGTCTTGTCCAGCATATAATTTATACAGACGATACAATGCCAATACGGCAAGCACCTAGAAGACTTCCATTTGCTAAACAGAAAGAAGTAGTAAATATGATACAGGACATGATGGAAGCAAATATTATTGAAGAAGCTTCTGGTCCCTGGTGCTCATGTATGGTCCTAGTAACCAAGAAAGACGGATCTACTCGTTTTTGTGTAGAAGATTAAATCAGATAACGCAAAAAAATTGCTATCCACTTCCACGAATAGACGACTAAACACCCTATCAGGTGCAAAATGGTTTTCCACGCTAGACTTGAAGAGCGGATACTGGCAAGTGGAAGTACACCCTGACGATCGAGACAAAACAGCTTTTTCAACTGACAGCGGATTATACAGATTCCAGGTTTTCCCGTTTGGTCTCTGTAATGCCCCAGCTACCTTTAAACATCTAATGGAAATGGTTCTGAAAGGATTAACCCGGAAAACTTGTCTAGTATATTTCGATGACATAATGATCATGTCGAAAACAAGTGCATCGAAGGGGACGTCTCCATAGCAACGCAGACATTCTTTCCAGGTGACCCTGTTTAAAACGACAATGCCGTTACTGTAAAAGGCTTGAAGAACGAGAGGAGCTGGTTGAAGAAGTTAATCTTCAGGCGACCACTATCAAGCCAGAGGATACAGATTCCAGGCTTTCCCGTTTGGTCTCTGTAATGCCCCAGCTACCTTTGACAGTAGTATTGAAAAATGCAGTGTAGTTCAAGTTCAAAGTTTACACCTGTGAAACGTATAAAAAAGTGTGCGTTGTCAGCTAACGAGAAAATATTTGTAAACAATCTTTATAGTTGCCTAAGAATGGAAAATTCTTCGTTTTCTGTTGACGACACTGTTGAAAGGACAAGTAATATGATGGATGGATAAGTAAATCAACGATATATAAAGTTATAAGTGAATTAAAAATTAGAGTTGTTAACCCCCAAAGAAAAATGCAGGAGTAAGAAAAAAATGGAATGTACTAAAGAAATTAAAAGCGGAATAAGAAGAAAAGTTCACAAATTTTATTTTAAAAAGGTTTTTGACGCAATCAATAGTGATCCGTATTTTCCTAAAATAGGAAAGACAAAACTACGGGAAACTCTAATATATTTGAAATTTAAGTGGGATGAACGGGACAGGAAAGCTGATGAAATTGTTTGTTGGAGAGGAAGATATCTCAGAACCATTTTTAAATTACGTGCAGAAGGCAAAAAATATTTGGACGAAACCCGGGTGAACGAAGCAAAATGTGGCAGGACACAAACATTCAATCTTCACGACAGGCTTTTTTGAAAGGATTATCTACAGGATTGAAGGTTTCTTCCGGTAAGGTTAGGTTAGGTTGAAAATGAGTGGGATGATCTCATCGCCTTCCACTGCGACCCAGATGGGTCTATTGTGGCTCATGATTAACTTATACTTCACCGTACAAGCCATACCTTTTGATAAAGGTCATGGTTGAATTGGGTGAGACTTCTTTAAAGTCGGTAGGCTCCAGCCGGGTAAATCCGAAGATCTGGAACCTAATTTTTTCCAGAGCGGAGCAGGTACATAAAATGTGCTCTGCAGAATCAAGAGTCCGATGTTTGTTGCAGACCTATTCTTCTCATGTGATTGCCCAGACGGCAGTGTCCTGTCATCAGTCCAGTGAGAATGCGTAGATCTTTCCTACTCCATTCTCGGATCTGAGCAGAGGCGTTCATAGAAGGGTTGGTTATAAACGCATTCGAATGGGTTAGCCCTGGGGTATCTCTCCCGTTCGTGTGTGTTGCACCCTCCTATGAACACAGATTCGGTTCCTCTTTTAGCAAGTGCGTCGGCTTTTTCGTTGCCCTCCACACCACTGTGTCCCGGAACCCAGATCAAAGTAACTTTGTTCCGGGCACCGAGGCACTCTAGGGTATTTATACAATTCCAAACCAGCTTTGAGTCAACTCGATTGGAGCTCAGGGCCTTAAGGGCTGCCTGGCTATCTGAAAAGATCTTTATAGTCTTGTTTGCGGGGAGAAAATTAATCAACTCTCTCGCTCCCAATTCTATAGCAATCATTTCTGCTTGTAAGATCGTGGCCAGAGAGCCTAGGTTTATTGATATGTCAACTCTAGGCCTCTGGCCGAAAACTCCCGCTCCTACGCCTTTTTTAGCTTTGGAGCCGTCCGTGTACAATACATAGTCTGCCTGGGAGAGGATTTTTCCCCTCTGCTCCATGCGTCTCTCTCCGGAATGAGGACGCTGTATGGCTTTTCTATGTGCTGGAGTCCGAGACGATGCCGAGGATGAGGTAAAGGACGACGTCTAATTATAACTCGTATTGGAAGTGATGCCGGGTTTTCAAAACGTGGTTCTTTAATTCAATCTAAAAAAACCGAAGGCTATCATGAAGATATGAACGCTGATGTTGTTGAAGCATATTTTCAGCAGATGATAAAACATTTACCAAAGGACTCAATTATAATAAATGGATAACGCTAATTACCATTCACGTCTAATTGGACGTGTGCCAAATATTTCATGGAAAAAAGATTTCATGGAAGAAAGATGATAACATTAAGTGGCTAACAGACAGAAACATTAACTTTCCAGAAAAATCAATAAAAATAAAACTACCAAAAATTGTGAAATTAAATAAACCTTCAGTACGTTATGTAGTGGATGAACTTGCAAAAACTTATGGTATTGATGTTGTGCGTCTTCCACCCTATCACTGTAAACTAAAATAGGTATTTTAAACTGATATAGCCACAAGTTAAAGGATAAATGTAGGTCGACATAATACGACATTTAAGTTAAAAGATGTAAAAGCATTGTTAGAAACCTCCATATCACTTATTACGAAGGAAAATTGGAAAAAGGCAATTGAACATGTGTTAAAAGAAGAAGAAAATATTTGTGGGTTTAGCTTATATTTAACAGTCATATGTCAATTCAAACATTTGATTAGTAAAAATTTGGAATATGTATGAGTTTTAGCAATAAAAAGTTTTAAAATATCAAAAGAAAAACGGAAAGAGACGTGGTATATTTTTGGTGGGCTGTTTGCGAAGAATAATAATAAACTTTGACAATTCATTCATTGGGCAAGTTTGAAATGACGCCCTATGGAGTGAGCAGGGCATGAGCAGAGTTCTGTCAATTCAGAGAGCGAATGTAGTAACATCTCGAACGCGCTCTGTTAGTAAAAAACATAACCTCAATCCAGTATGTCAGTCATCGGTCAGTTAATTATTATTTATTACAATAGAATAACATAAAATAAACTTTCAGAATTTACTTATAATACTATATGAGTTAAATAATTTTAAAATAAAAATATTACCTAGCACAAACCCACAGAACAATAATATGTGCCGTTCATTGACATAATTGACATTTCAATATTTAACTTCCCGACAGATCTGGATCTTCTAACACAGTTAAAAGAGTGCACTCGGAGTCCATATTCATTGCGTTCGGTCTGCCAAGTTCCTTTAACTCCTTTAACACTTTTTACTCCAAACGACCCTTTTAGCTTTCGGTTTAGTCCGATTAGTGACAGTTTAACACGCTTAAATGTCATTTAAAAGCACCCTAAAATACTCCGCTTTTGTCCCGCTCCAGTCCCTGACTATCCGAACTCGCCTACTTAGACTACACTCAGTCATCGAACGCGACAGATCACACTCCGAATATTTAAAAAAAAAAAACGCGAAAATGAAGTCCGAGCAACCTGAGTTTCTACTCGAACTCACGGGTAATTTCCATTCAGAGTGAGCGATGTTTGACTCATAGCCACCGCCGACGGGAGGCCCACGATTTAAAAAAAAATTGAACGGCATATTAGGTTATTTTTTATGAACCGGCTCTGTAGTTTTATAGTTTACCAGCATTTATTTTGTGATTCGCAGGATACCTATGTAAAAGGTATAAAACTATGTACATAATTTGCGACTGCAACCTCTTCCTCTCTACGTTGAAAACATGACAGCTGTGTTCGAATTTTTTTGTCGTTCTCCAGTGGTGTATCTGAATTAATTTTGAATTGCATTGGAGAGGAAAATTATACCACTTTTAAATAATAAAAATCAGAGTTACGTGACAAATACTGTGGCAAATAAATTCAACTTACCTTTTTCTAATTCGCTGGATACTAATGATTGGTTAATACTTCTTGAAACTTGATTGGTAATTTCTCTACACTGCCTTTTTGGTTCATGTAATGACATCAACTGAAATTAATAAATATAATTAATATAAAACAAAAAATACTTATTTTAAAATTGATTTTATTACACATCTCATTTATTTAGGTAGATATGTAGATATCAAGAGCTCGAGTACCTATTAAATAAACTAATTGACACTTTGTTTAAATTGGATGACAGAAACTTGAATGGTAATTTAATTTGTAGCTAAATATACAGCATGTAACAAAATGGTAAGCCATAAATTATTCTAGAATCAAAAAAAAGTCGATTAGAGAAAAGTTATATAGTTTTTTCAAGCTACAAATGATTTATTACCATCAAAATTCACCAAAGTATATGAAACATTTTATAGTTAATTCATGGATTGGAGGGGAGAGAAAAATGCAGGTAATAAAATTTTGAATTCGATTGAATATAGCCAAACCAGCAATTCAATAAATATTATTCCATCAACATCAACAACGGCATTAACCAATATTGTTACTGTTTGGTCCCAAACTCTTTGGTCCCAAATACTTAGTTTTAGTTGATATTTATTGTATTCCCTTATAGACTCCTTACGGTTTACTAGGTTACACTTTCTTTATATATATAAAAAAACATAGTAGGAAAAAGATGTCACAAAAAAGTCATTGAAACATCACATCTAATAAAAAATAATTTCACGATTTCCATTGCATTTTTAAGCATTTATATTAAACTCTCAAGTTCCGTTGATTTGTATATCAAAGTTAATACATTTTTGGAAGAAATCCTGGTCCTTCGTTTTTTTATTAAGAAACACCTAACTCTACCTGTGCTACAATCGCTAAACCCCAAGTGTGCGAGGAAAGGCGAGTGCCACCCGTTCAGTTACAAAACTGCCAGAAGTACCACAGTTGCATTTTAATAACTGTACCATCATAACCATAAATCAAAAATAGTAACGAAATAAATGATTCTAATATTTCCTTTATTTGTTAAATTTTGATTTCTATGTTTGTTTGTGATAAAGTTTAGATGTTTATTCAGTTTAATAAATTTCTTTATTATAATTTAATGGTCGTAGCCAAAATAATGTATACAACTCACATTTAATGGCTTAATAGCTATCATTAACGCCCGTATGAACCGTACACGTTTAATCCAGATCAAGGGTTTAATCGCGTTTAGTACCATAGCTAAAAATGGTACTAATCGCGATTAAACCCTTGATCTAGATTAAACGTGTACGGTGCATACGGGCGTAAATGCTCGTTGCATAATATACTATTAATAATTTGTTAAAATGAAATACCTAAGATCTATATTTAATAATTAATGTTGACAATTTAATAATTAAATCGATTTTACTATTAAAATGGATATTACATCAATCAAAATAGAAATTAGACGTCTGACATATTTGACAGCTTATGCGGAAAGTAGATTCATATTCACACACTGGTGAAAAGTAGATTAATCTAAACGCGTGTGATACAGGGTACTTCCCATAAGACTAAATAGTGCAATAGCTATGACTTTCCTAAGTAGTCGCAGGAAAAATTATATTATTGAAAATATACCTCTGTTATTTTATAATAGCATCGAGATAGAATGACAGATGGAAAAGTGTAATCAAAATGGCGACTTTGAGTCGTACTTTGATTTATTTGAAGTCAATAATTTTATGTATTTGAAGATTGACAGAATGAAAATGTTTTTATATCATTTAAATGAAGCTATTTTAAAAAAATTACATTAATGCTCACCAAAACTGACCCGAGTTTGACATATGACGTAAAAGTGTAATGCAAATGTGCGGACACTTTTAGGGTAAGTTCGGTTTGGAACTCGACGGATCGCACAGAGCGCGCACGAAGTGCGTGACGTCATAGACAGAGTTCACTCTTTTTAGAATCTCAAGACGAACACAAGGGGAATCACATATGACACTAGGGATAGTTTGCACTTGAATACACTTTTGTGTGTGTCTATGGACTGTAAAAAAATAATTTTAATCAAATAGAAAATAGTTATAACAGAAACAAACAAGAAATATTACGTGTAAAACTGATTAATCACCGATCAGAAGATTGACATGTGACATTTTTGACACATTCCTACAGATACTCGCTGATCTCCATCGGCCAACTCGCGGAAGAGTGAGTGCGTGATCTGTGGCAAGCCGAATACAAAAGAGTACGCTCTGAGTGCCAAGGCGACCACAATCGAGGCATACCGAGTGCACTCTGAGTACAGCGAACGCCAAACCGAACTTAGCCTTAGTATCGTCATAGTATCATTTCCTCTTTATTCTGTCTCAATGTATAATAGCAATCTGTCGATTTCATTTTAATTTGCCAAAAGTTAATTTGATTAAACTATAAAAATACGCTATAACTTTTTTCTACACCCACAAGGATATTAGCTTATCTACGCACAGATTACAAAAGGAAAAAGTATGCTATTGCCTTCAACTGAACGAATATATTTCAGATACATTCTAGGTACCTAGTTAAAACACTGCAAAAAAAATGAAATCCACCAATCACCGTTCATATTTTGATCAACTGATTGCTATTATTTTTAAAATTTTGAATAAGTGATAATTCTGTCAAACTTATTTTCAGTATATGTTTTAGTTATTGAGATTAAACATACATTAAAATGGGTTATTCTTGAGTAGAATCAATAAATAATAGCATTTCTTTTTTTATTTCGTCTATAATTATAAATAATTTGTTAATTTAAATAAAACTATGTGAAGTCAATTTAATTACGAGTATTAAAGCAACAGAAGTAAAAGGCTTGGTGGTCCTATGGTTAGCGTTCTTGCCTTCCACGCGAAAGACTGGAGTTCGATACTCGGATGGGGAAAAACGAAATGAACTTTTTTCTTTTTTTTATCGTTTAGTTTATTTTAAAAATTATTAAAAGAAATAAATTATTTTAAAATTAATTATTTTGTCTTAATAACCTTAAAAAATTTATTTTATTTGTAAATTTTCGTTAGTGTACAACTCGAGTGGATTGTCCGTCATTTTCACTCTTGTTGCACAGACTACTAATTGAGGACTGACTTTTGTTTATAGGTAAGTTAGATATTTGGTATAATTTATTACCTATCTTTTTTGTTACATACTGTATAGCAGATGAACTAATCCCGAAAAAGAATCAATCAAATAAATTATGAAGAGATTTATTCATTAAATAAAAACAACTTTATAAGTAGCGACACATTCTCAAACTGGTTTTCAATTAGACTCGTTACGATTTCGCATATAATTTAGATCCGACGATAAAAACACTGAGACTCAAAACAGTTGCAAACCTACTTATGGAAAACTTTTTTTGTCGATGTTTAGAAACACATTTTTATAATAAAATTCAAAGCTTCGCCTACAACCAAATATTAACTTAATAGATTTAAAGAAAACACATAATTATGAATCTATGTTTAAGCATAAAAAAGAAAAATCAGCATAATAACCAGTGGCGTACCATGGGCCAAAGAGGGCGCCCAAATCTCTACCTTAAAGTTTTATTAAATCGAATGAGATATCATCTAAATAGACATACTGTTTGGAGATTAGCGATCTAATAATTCAACAGTCAACAGAAATCACGGTGATGTAAAACCTCTATATTTACATTTTTGTTGAAGTGTTGTGAATAAAAGAAAAGCTTTCAATAGCTAGATTTATTTAAAAACAGAAACAGTGACATTTTGTCGAATCTCTATGGTTTTGTTCATCAATAAGAAAAATAACACATATTAAAAAAGAAAGGTTCACTATTGTATATCGATATCTACAGTCAAGCAGGGTCTTCTGCTGTTAGTACTTGGATATGTAGAGGATAGCCGGCGTACTTATAAAATTCCAAACAAATAGCCCCCGTAGTTGCATACCACAGCTGGCAAGCTCTATATCAATGAGTATGAGGTATACGGTGGTAGGCTGTGCCAGTTCATGGATGTCCGACTCGTTAAAGATCCACGTGCTAAAATATGTTTTCTAGGTTTGTGATGTTCTAGTAAGAACTCTCCATATCATTGAATATTATGAATGGTAATATTTTTTCTATAATTAGTACATTCTCCCTTTTGACATTTAACATTTAACTGTTAAATGCTAAATTATTCTTGTTTATTTTGCCAAATCCATTCATAATACTTTTAATTAATATTTTTGACAGGCATATGCCTATCAAGAATACTAGAACAACTAAAGGAAATGATGAACAAGCGGCGACCCAAGCGGTGCAGTGCACACAAACTATTTATTATTTAATAATTAAAATAATAAAAACCGGTTCTATTCCATTTTGTACCCCGAAAATGCTCAGAAATAAGAATTTGAATTTAAAATTTGAACAGTAAATTCGTCTGCCCCAAAATAAAAATAACATTTTTAGATTTAGTTTTTATGCTTCTTTTAAATATGGAAACGAATTATAAAAATCAGTTATACAGGGTGTTGTTTTCAGTGTGGAAGAATTTGTGAATTTTAGCTAAGCCGGATCTAGATTTTCCTACTTTTTTAGACATCAGTATATTCGACAAGATGTGGATGACAAGTATTACCAAACGTCATATCTACAGGGTTGTTCCCAAGTTATGAATAAGGAAAGAAATGAATAAAAATGATATTTCGGTCATTAAATTAGGGTTATCTAGAATTAGCTCAGTGGCCTCCATCCACAGTCAACGTATTACCGTTTCTCAATGAATCACCCTGTATAAAATCTATTTTACGTATATTATAGAATGTCTCAAATAATTTCTGTGAAATGTAGATGAGATACTTGCACTTTTTTGGCAGTTCTACAACACTAGTGCACCAGACACCACTTATTTGATAGTCCTCTACTACTTTCTCATTCACCAATTGACTCCCTCAGTCACTGTCATTCATTCCACGTCGTCGATGCTAGTTGGCTAATTTCCATGGTGAAACATTTCAAGTGGTTACCTATCTACATCGTGATCGGAGAGATCACTGCTGAACTGTTGTGAGAAGACTGAGAATGTGGATGCACACTAATCTCGCGGCTAGCCT